TTGATTGATTGATTTATTCTTTGATTGTTTGTTTGTTTGTTTGTTTGTTTGTTTGTTTGTTTGTTTGTAAAGCATCAGAGCTGCAGACTGTTTTGTTGTGAACCTGGTCTGGTGTTTCCTCTCCGGCCCCTCACTCTCAGGGTCTCTGCTTCAGAGCTTCATGATTCTTGGAATGATAAATAAAACAAAAGTTTCGCAGCGTGCACACAGGAAGTGTTTGTCTGTTTGTTTGTTTGTTTGTTTGTTTGTTTGTTTGTTTGTTGAAACCTTAGGTCCAGGTTTGCTGAATGTTTAGAAATGAGTTGAATATTAAAACTTTCTCCTGGAGCAGTTTTTTTTGTGATGATGCTTCAGATGACATCATCCTGACAGAAGCTGCAGTTATTTTTCCTTCTCCTCAGCTTCGACTCATTTCTCCTCTAACTTGTGCGTTCATCATCACCTCATCACCTCCTCCCACCTCCTGCCTGACAGCCGCCTAATTCTAATTACACCAAACTCTCACTGTCTTTTCAGCTCTCTATCACTTCCTCTCCAAACCAGAAAATACTTCCCAAAGCCACAAACCTCCTCCTCCTCCTCCTCCTCGTCTTCATCSCTGCTCCTCTACAAGCTGCAGAGAGTCGGGCAGGAAGAGGCTGATCTCAGCTCGTCATGTTGTCATCCATCCATCAGCTGAACGAAGGACGTCTCTTCACACAGAAACTGATTTATGGTCAAATAAACTCTCAGTCTGTTTCTGTTCCTGCAGCAGTGATGCTTCGTCCAAACATCTGTCTGAAACTTCAGCTAGAAAGAAACAAAAACACATTTATTGGTATTTTAATGTACATTTAACCTTTTATGTATAATTTTGTCTCATTCAGGCTTCCATACATGTGACCTTTTCACCTTTCAGCTGTTTCCTCTGTTTGTTTCGTTTTGATTGTAATTTCTGAGCTGCTGCGACCTGATTCACCCACAGAGGATCAATAAAGTTTCATCTTACAGAATTATTTCTCTGCTGGTTCCTGTTTTAGCTTCAGTTTACGGCTCAGCTTCCTCTGAAAGAACAGGAAGCAGCCGAGTCCGGAGAAACATGTGATCATGTAAAAATAGATCTGCTGAAAAGGAAAAGAGTTTTTAAAGACACAACGTGAGGAAAAACCTGCAGAGAATTCAAACTTTAAGACAAAGTAAAACAAACGAATCAAATCAGAAATAAAATCAAAAGAATAAAACATGAAAGTTACAGAATAAACTAAATAAAAAACAAAGACTGAATGAGAGGAAGGTTAGGATGATCTGCAGAAACAAAAACAACATTTATGATGAAGAACTGAAGAGAAAATAAATAAAAGAGGCAGAAACCAYGAGAGGTAAGAAACAAAGTGAAATAAAACTAATAAAGTAAAGGAGTGAAAACAGAATAAAAGTGTGGAGAGAAGAAACAGATGAGGTGAAGTGATGAAACCTTCGGGGGAAGACGGTGGATAAAAGCAACCTGCTGCAGCTGTCATGGCTTCAGAACAAGCTGTGAAAACATTTTCATTTGTTGTTCCCAGAAACGAGGCGTGATGATGAGTTTAATCATTCTGCCCCGGTTCCTGTTTACTTCTGTGACGTGATGCAGCAGAGCTTCAGCAGAGAGTCCAGCTCCTGTGGCAGGCTTTGTTTTCAGGAAATGTGATTGGYTGCTCCTGGCTCTGGGACCACCGCTCGCTGCTACCTGAACCGGTCCATTTCCTGGACTGGATCCAATAAAACACAACGAGCTGAGAGGAGGTGATTTCTGAGGAGCATCAGGAGGAGCTGCAGTCAGGACAGGACTCTGTAGGTTCTATCAGGACCAGAAGGATCTGATCTGGTTCTGAAGTTGTTCTAAGCTGTCCTCCACCGAGTCTTTTTATGGAACCAGAACCTCCTCTGTGGTTCTGGTTCCGTTAGCTGCAGAGGGTATTTGACCCACTCTTCTTTCCATCGGTGCTTCAGTTCACTCTGAAGRTTCAGTCAGATCCAGGTTCAGGTTCTGGACCCTGCAGCACCTTCGGTCCACTCAGTGACTGTAAGGAGCCCAGACCATCAGCTCCACCACCGTGCTGACAGCWGGAGGACTTTTAACCTGCTGGAGCTCATTGCACRGTCTGACCTTCAGGGTGCCAGCTGTCCCTCTGTAGACCGATGGACCCTCTGTGACCTTTGACCAGCTGCAGGTCCAGTCACAGCCTGGTGTCAGGTTCTGCTCAGAGACAGTAACAGAGCAGCGTGTCAGAGACAGAAACAGTTTTATTAACTCATCAGCAGCTGAATAAAAACTGAAACAAAGAACGAGGTCATCAACTG